GCAAGGGGCGCTGCCCGCCGCCGCCGCCGCCGGACTGCCGCCGCCGCCGGCCCCCGGCACCCCCACCGGGCTGCCCAAAGGCTCGGCCAGCGCGGGGCCCCAGAGCCTGCCCAGGACGCCCTCGGCCACCACCGGCGGGATCCGGGCCACGCTGACGCCCACGGTCCTCGCCCCTCGCCTGCCGCAGCCGCCTCAGAACCCGACCAACATCCAGAACTTCCAGCTGCCCCCAGGTGAGTGGCCGCGCCGGGCGGGCCTGGCTGCCCCCGCGGGGAGTCCAGGAAGTTGTGGGGCTGGCAGGGCGCTGAGGTCACGGGTCTTGCGCGGGCCTGCAGCGAACGAGCCAGGGCGCTCCTCTGCCGGTGCGGGAGAGCTCTCTGCCATGCGTGTGTGTGTGTGTGTGTGTGTGTGTGTGTGTGTGTGTGTGTGTGTCTGCGGGCACGGCCCCCCGGTGCTGTGGCAACAGGGGTCCCCTTTCCTGGGGCATCGCTTGGCCTCAGCTCGCTGTTTGCATTGCAAAGTTTCTGGGCTCCCACCGTGCAGCAGCGGCTCTTTTGCTCTCCCGGCTCCCTGTGCCCCTGTCCCGCTCCTCCCCTCCCCCCGCCGTGCAGCGCTCTGGCTGCCGGCCTCCGCTGGAACGGCTTACTGGGTTATGCAGCCTGGGTCCGTGGCTTTCCTGGGTCTGCTGCTTTCCCCTTCTGGTTTTGGGGATCGGTTGTGTTAGGGCTTGTGAACGGAACTCGTCTGCTCCTCTGTGACTCTGGGCTGTGATGGAGGGCTGGGCACTCCCCCCAGCTGGTGAGGTCAGGCAGAGTAGGGACGCCCCTTCCTTGTGGCCGGGCAAGCGTGCATGGAAAGCTTCCGCTTCCCTGCTAGCGGCAGGATTGCAGAGATCCCAGGTGAGCCCTGGAGGGATCCTTGGGCACACACACCCTTCCTGGTCCACGTCCCTGCCTCCCACTGTGTCGTGCACTGCTTCGGCCACAGCGTCCAGCAGTGCCGTGCTGCGGGTTAAAGGATGCTCGGTCGCTCTGGTTAGTGCCATCCGGTGAGATCAGCGGGTCTCTCAGAGGTGCACACGGTGGTGCGTAGTGAGGGGGGAGCGGTCGCGGCCACAGCCTGTGCGTTTCCCGGGTCTCTTGGGTCATCCCTGGCAGTCGGTTGGGGTTCTTCAGGTCTGACAGTGAAAGGTACCCCACAGCGTCCCAGCTCATGCTGCTGTGTTTTGGGATTCTTGAGCAGAGAGAAACTTGAGCACTGAGAAGCCCTGTCTCCTCTCGCATCCCCTCCGCCTCGCCCGCGAGGATCGGGAGCTTCTGGAGAGCTCCTCCCTGGCTGTGTAGTAACATGTGCTGCTGTAGCGGCCAACGCGGTGGCGGGAGCGGAAACAGCACCTCCCGTGTCCCCGCATGCTTTCTGGGAAAGAGCCGTTGGTCACCTTGACAGAATTTCAGCGTCTTAACAAGGGAGGGTTTTCTTGTCAGAGCCCGTGAGGGTGTTCTTAGGCCGGCAGGGGCGGGGGAAGTGGGCAGCCCAGACCCACGTCTCCGGGGTGGGAGTGGGGCTTGCCGTGCTCGGAGGGGACAAGGTGACGCAGAAGAAGTTGCTGGAGAGGTGTCGAGATGCCCCTTAGGATGCGTCTGGTTTGTTTTTTGAGTTTGTAGTGGGCGCTTATTTGAAGGTTCTGTTTTGTTCATTGTATGTGTTTTGACTTTTCGGTGGAGAATAGGGCTGATCTTTTAGTAATCTTTGAAAAAGGGAATTCGGGGTTGTGGTGCATTATGTAAAACGTGGGAATATCCTTTCCCTATGTATAAAACTCCCTTTCTGGGGGTCCTGCACAGCTCAGCACCTGCCTTACTCCTGCCAGAGACCATTCCCGTGCCGCACTCGTGTTGTTGGGAACTGGTGTGAGCTGGTCAGTAGTTGGCGAGGCAGGCGCTTGGCCTGACCGGCAGGGCCCGTGTGACGCCTGCAGGTGCGGTGGTCTGGGGATGGCTGGGTCTCCTTGGTCTGCGCCTTGGCGCAGGCGAAACCCCTTCCTTATTTTTGTGCCGGGGGAGGAAGCCATGGTTGGGAAAGGGCGTCTCTGCCACGAGTGACCCTGGACTCACTTTCATCTTTGGTTTTGACGTCGCTGTCACAGAGGTCTTCGTGTGCCAGTGGACCAGTCCTTGAAAAAAGCTGTAAGAGTTGTCACGAGCGTTTGCGTTAAGTCCCCGGGATTTGAGAGCAGAGAGCAGCCCGTGTTGACATTGGGGTGACAGATGTCTTCTAGAATATAAAAGATGTGTGTCCGTGTTTTCTTTGACGCTCCCCACACCCCGGCCCCCACCGATTGGGAACTCTGAATAGTTACATCGCCTCCTTTTTACAACAGCGGGAGCAAAAAAAAGTATCACCCCGAAAGAAAGTTCTCGCTTTTAAATAGTGCAATTTTGTAAACCAAAATGACAGGTTATGAATATCCTAGTTATATAATCGATCAGGAAATACTAAACTCTCTTCCTTGATGTTCCCTCTTCATTGAAATCTCTCATCCCAAAGACGTATACAGCGGAGGTAGAAGTGACTTATACAAATAACCGTGCTCGGCTTAAATAGCTCGTTCTTGCTACAACTCAGAGACGCAGACACTTGGGAAGGGATCAGGGGCGGGAGGCCTTTCCAGGCTGCACACAGGTGTCAAGTGAGCGTGTATGAACGAGGCTGGCCCGTCAGCTCCTCCCCTTCCTGCAGGTCGAGCTCCAGATGGGGAGAGGAGGTACGGGGGTCTCACCGGGGCCCCAGGCCTTCTCATCGTGCGCTGGAACCCGTGTGGATTTTGGCTTTAGCGAGTTCCATTTTGATCTTCTTTGTTAGGACAATTTTGTAAAGAAACGCTTACGTTGTTGTAATCGATTTGCTCGTTTGAAGGTACCGGAGTGTCGGTTTTGTCCGCTATGGGGATAGCAAGAACAGATAAGAGATTTTTGCCGCAAAGGCACTTCTCCAAGAACTGCGAAAAGCGCTCGTTTCATACGGCTTGTTAGTCGTAACATCCCGGTAATATTATGATCATCATTGAGAGAAAAAAAAGTGATATGACACCAAAATTAGCATGTGCGTAATGTAAATAGTTTTAAAAGATCTTTTCAGGTAGATGCTACGTTAAAGATGCTCATTTCCAAAGGTTATCTCTTGGCGTGGCAAGTTAGTGTTTTTTGCAGTGGATGTCTGTTTGTCCTGCTTTTGCAGAGAATGCTCTCCTGTCACCTGAAGGTTTGGCCAGGGCGTAGGTTCTCATTCCGGGACGTAGCACCGTTTCCTCTCCATCGGCGTAGTTGCTTTGGCCTGGAAACATTTGCGTGCTCCTTATTCGAAGTGAATATTATCACTGTTAATATCCTTGCTCGTAAAAACATGGCTCCCACCACGATGAACGCAGTTATTTGCTGGTAGGGAAGGGAAGAACCCAGCGGTAGCCGACTGGGCTGTTGGGCCGGGTTATTTCCCGGAGGGCTGACCCTGAGCCGGGCGGTAGGGTGTGGAGAGCCCGGCACTGAAGTAAAAGGAACTGGACATTCTGGTGGCCGGTCTTGCCCGCAAGTGCTGTGGCCCGAGGGGTGTGTGTGCACCTTTAGATTTTGTTACTCGAGGGCACTCCTGCCTTCTCTGCTTGGAGTCCCAGTTGCCCCAGCTAGAAAGTGCCGCTGACCATTTTGCAAAGCATTGTGGAATCCTGTCGGGACGAACGGGCCACGCCTCCGTCGTGTAACGTCTGTTATTTATGTGCTGTCCCAGTGACGTTACGGTTTTTGCGGGTCTTAAGCGTTATGTTGCTGTAGATGGTGCCAGGTCTAAAGACAGCTTTATTCTCATCAAAGCCATAGCAGCCTTGGACGCGTTTTCAGTCACCGGGGAACCTGGTGCGGTGGCTGACTCCGGTTGTCTGAGTGGGAAAGTTGCCGGGCTGTCACAGGCCGGTCACAGACCCGGCGGACGTGGGGGCAGTGGGCGCGGCTGCCTGCTCGGAGTGGGCTTTGGCATGGGATTTGCTTTAGCCCAAAGGCCTTGGGGTTTTGCTTTTGATGTACTTGTGTAATGGTGATGTTCGTAAAGAGAAAGGGAAAAGAACTTCCGGAGAGCCACACGCGGCCGGCACTGGACAGCTCTGCTTGGCGGGGACAGAGGTAGCTTCTCTGAGCTTCCACACCGTGGGCTTGGAGGGGAGGCCGTCCTCTGTCTGCACCTCGCCCCTGACTGTCACCACTACCTTAAGGGAGGACAAAGCCGTCTTGGCGCCTGGGGGTGGGGTGGCGGTTCAGGCATACGTGGGGGTCTTTTGGAGCTGGCGGTTCTCACCTTTTGGCAATAACCAGGAAAGGGGTCCCTTAGACCCTCCTGGGGCATCTGTTCTCTTCTGCTGCCTACCGTGCCGGAGGGCAGCGCGTGCTGTGCGCGTACGGCACAATTACTGGAGTTTGAAAAGTCGAGACTTCCCGAGTCCTTTGCGTTTGCCGGTCCAGTGTAGATCCGTATTTCTTAGCGCCCCACGAGGAAGTGGTTAGCAAGCGGGATCTTGCTACCTGGGTGGCCGATGAACCCAGGGGCCAAAGGGCCCGACTCCCAGGAGTTCTGTCACCTCCGGGCCGTGGCGAGTGAGTGCCCTCGCTTGTGCTGTAGGAGTTGCTGACAAGTGGGCACTGGGTCCCCTCGGGCAGTGGTGTTTGATCAGAACGGGACTGACCCAGTTCAGACCCTGCCCTAGAAACGAAGCAGGTTGGTGGGGCAGAGCAGCGGGGCGCGCACGTGGCTGTTTCCTTGAAATCAAAATAAAGGTAGTTCCTGGTGTGCTCCTAACCCCGACTTCGGCTTCGGTGTGTAAATGTAAGCTTTCCTCATCTGAAATGATACATTTGAAGAAAGCTTTTCGAGAAATAGCTGGTCGAGAAATAGCTGGTCGTGTGTGAGTTGATCAAGACAGAATTAACTGGTTTTAAAATTTTGAAGCAGAGATTTAAAAGGACTCTGGAGCAACTTGCCTTCGGTTTGGGGAGTTTGCAAAGTTCTCAAAAGCACTTTTACTTTTCCTCATGTTGATGATAAGCAGGAGTCTCAGGTTTTCTTGATCGTCCTGGGAAATAGTCACTGTTTAGGGTTCTCCTCTCTGAAACTTGTCTTCGACTGGAGGCTGGCAGTCTTTTATGTGATCAGGTCTTTGATAGTAAGAAGACTGAAGGAGAGAGGTCCG